CGGGCGCCGAGCCGGCAGTGCCTGGCCCACGGACGAGCTGCTGAAGGCATTTCTTCGGCGGCGGGGAGGCTGGTGAAGGGGCCGCGTGCTTTCCGAGCCCACCTCGGGCCAATCCCGCAGCCAGTCCCGCTGAGGGGGTCTGAAGTAGGACCCTTGGCCAAGCATCCCCACAAGTCCTGGTTACTTTTTTTAAACATTGTGCTAAAGTACACGATATAAATTTACCATCGTAACCATTTTTAAGTGCGTAGGTCAGTGGCATTAAGAATATTCACATTAGTCACAACCGTCACCATCCATCTCCAGCTTTTTCCTTTTCCCAAACTGAAACTCTGTGCCCATTAAACACGAACTCTCCATTTCCCCACCCCAGCCCCTGGCACCCAGCATTCTGCTTTTTATCTCCATGAATCTGACCCTCCCAGGCACCTCATATAAGAGGGATCACACAATATTTGTCCTTCTGTGTCAGACTTATTTCACTTAGCATACATGTCTTCAAGGTTGATCCATACTGGAGCGTGCAGTCTTGATTACGTTTGTCTCTGTTATTTTCTACCATCTATGTGACTTGGATCAGTATCATAGATTCTACTTCCTTTTGTGTCAAATGTGCATTTTGTTTCTACGTTGATAGTATATTTTACTTAATTCTGCCAGCTCACTTTTCTTCTCCAGCTCTGATCACTTATATCTCTTCTTTAATCAAACAGACTGTTTTCTTTATTTCCTTAAAAATGTTATATTGAATTGTACTATTTCTCGGAACCATTCTTCCAGAGTGTATTCCTCGTCTGTCCTTTGCTTGTCCCGCTTTCTTTCTCCTGTTCCTTTTGTGTTACCTTGGCGAGCATCTCCGGTTAGATCCCTTCTGCTTATTACTCCTCTTTAAATAGGGCTTGTTTCATCTGGTGCTAAAAGTGAATTCTTTACTTCACCTTCCACTTACCTAGGCTTTCGCCCACTGTTCCCTTAAATGTAAACTGGCTAGTTAGGTGTTATCACTGGTGTGCAATCTCTGTTTAGTCCTCTGGCTTTGGTGAGTAGTGGGGTCTGGCCAGGATTAGTAGGCAGCTGGGTGCCTCAGTCTGGTTATGCTGCATCAAAATACTTTTGCCCCAGAATCTGATGAATGAGCCTCCCTGGGGCATGTGCAGAGCCATTGGAGAAGGTCTCCCTGAGATTGAGCCATCTCCTCTCCTCTTCTCAGACAAGCAGGTCATTCTGGCTGTAGGCGAGGCCCTCACCGTGCTCCATAGCACAAGAGGTTTTGATTTGATGGGTCACCTTTTGTTTGTCTCTGCTCAGATAACTTCAATCGGCAGCTGAATTCTAGGCTGCTGTTTCTGTCCTTGGGTGAAAGGTTGATGTTTGGCCTTTCATGACCTTTACTAAAATCTGTTTTACCTGAAACTCATAGAGAGACGAGTGTTGGAACTGATAATGTAGTATATTTGTGTTGATTACTAGGATGGACTCTGGAGTCAGAGTGCTGAGTTCAAATATTGGCTCTGCCACCTATTAGCCGATGGCCATGTGCAATTAATTTGTCTGGGCTGCAGTTTCCTATCTTTGAAATGGGGCTAATAGTGGTACCTACTTCATAGGGTTGATATGAGAATTAATTAAATGAGTTCATACAAACCAAAGGACATAGAGCAAAGCCTGGCCTAAAGTAAGTGCTCAATAGATGTTGGCCACTATCATTATATTTCTTGTAGTCTAAGTTAGGGGGCAAATGTTCATCTCCTCCATCTGAACAAGAGATTCCTGAGGATTAAATTCAATTATGTCTGCAAGGCCCATAACACAGTGCTCGATATATAATAGGCCCTCAAAACATGTACTGAATGTTAAATAATGAGGATAGAGGAAGGGTGTAGTGAGGGAGGGAGGTGGAGGAGAGAGGGTACCCATGAGTTTGTCTTTGCTCTGGGCCAGCGCTTTAGAATATGGCTTTTTTTTTCTTTTCTTTTTTTTTTTACCATTCAGACATTTACTGAACATCTTTTATAGGCTTCCCACCAGCTAATCAAAGTGTTGATGTAAGAAACATCAAAACCTGTAGATAATTTTTATGAGTTTATTTGAGCCAGACTGACAACATATGCCAAGGATCAAGATCTCAAGTGCTCTTCACTTAATGCCATCGATAGGCTCTGCCACTTTAAGTGAAATGACGTGTACTGAAACCAGTTTTACCACAGGCTCATTGACATGAGCAAGGGTTAAGTTCCTGTGACATTTCATCGACGTTATTTATTCAAGGACCTGTACACATCCTAGAAATGACACAAAACACCTCTCTCTACACCCCACTGGCCAGAACACAGCCCCTTGGCCACACCCAGCTGGACGGAGGCTTGGGCACGTGTTCTTTATTGCACGCGTCCTGCTAAAATCTCAGGGGCTCTATTATTTAAGAAGAAGCAGAGGTAAGTCTTGAAGAACAACAAGCAGTGTCTTCCAGTCTTTCATCTCTGCTGTAATCCACAAATCGACTCTTCTCTCCTCTGCAGACTAGCCTTCTCTGTCCATAGTTTCTGACCCCTCACACTTTCTACTGCTTGTACAAGACTTTGGGGGGCCACACCGTCAACTCTTAGCCCAGCACCACAGGTGATTTCAGTTCCACAGCTGCACGTGGTCTAGCCAGCTCAGGTTCTATGCCTCAATTCCAAGTTCCTAGAGAGAAAGTTTGATTTGTCTTGCTTGGGTCAGGCGACCACCTCCTCAACTCTGAGCCAATTGTCAGTGGCCTGCTTGGGTCAGGCGACCACCTCCTCAACTCTGAGCCAGTTGTCAGTGGCCTGGGGCACAGCAGTCCACTGTAGGACGGGATGGGACAAGCTCTCTAAGAGGTATGAATGGAGGAAGTGATGGGCATCTCTGAGAAGTCCTCCGTCTGAGCTTACTCCTGTCATGATACCCAGCCTTCTGAGCGTGGTTGTCAGTTTGCTTGTCCTTAGGACAGGAATGCATTTGCGCATATCTCATCCTCAGAGCCTAGGAATTACCTGGCACACTCAATATTTGTTGTAGAATGAATAATCCAATCTAGTCCTTAATTTTACAGAGATCGATTGCTTGCCCCAGTGTACACAGAACAGTGTCAGGGGCAGCAAATGAACCCAGGACTCCCGATTCCCAGTCCCTGGAGGGATTTCCCAGGATTACCCAGCACAATGTGGCTTGTTTGCCCCATTGTTCAGCACTTGTCTCTGCTTGAGCCCCCGCCCAGGGCTGCAGAGCATTGCCCCCAGATGCGGCCCAGGAGAGCTCCAGGCCGGAGGACACTGACTGCATCACTTAGAGTCCGTTTCCTACCTGAGCCTTCCTGCCCAGGTCAATGTCACCTCACAACTCCAAGCTGGGCCCCTTTGGGGAGATCCCATTCTGACTAGGCCTTGACCGAAGCTAGGCTCGGGATGCAGGGACACTCAAGGAGGTGGGATGAACAACCAACTAAAGTGGGAAACAAGATCTCCATGCCCCC